CACGAAAACTTTCAACAACACATCTCACTTGCCTAGTTTCCAACAGACCTCTCAACCTCTGAGGATGCCTGCCACAGATGTGGGCAAAACATCAGGAGAGAATGCTTCTGGTACATGGCCAGACAGCCCAGAAATTCCAACCTCTGAGGATGCCTGCTATAGATGTGGGTGAAACGTCAGGAGAGAATGTTTCTGGAACATGGCCAGACAACCCAGTGATTCCAGCCATGAAAACCTTCGACGACACATCTCACTTGCCTAGTTTCCAACAGACCTCTCAACCTTGGAGGATGCCTGCCATAGATGTGGGTGAAACAGCAGGAGAGAATGCTTCTGGAACATGGCCAGACAGCCCAGAAAACTCACAGCAACCCAGTGATTCCAGCCATGAAAAACTTCGACAACACATCTCACTTCTCAACCTCTGAGGATGCCTGCCATAGATGTGGGTGAAACATCAGGAGAGAATGCTTCTGGAACATGGCCAGACAGCCCAGAAAACTCACAGCAACCCAGTGATTCCAGCCATGAAAACCTTTGACCACACATCTCACTTGCCTAGTTTCCAACAGACCTCTCAACCTCTGAGGATGCCTGCCATAGATGTGGGCAAAACGTCAGGAGAGAATGCTTCTGGAACATGGCCAGACAGCCCAGAAATTCCAACCTCTGAGGATGCCTGCTATAGATGTGGGTGAAACGTCAGGAGAGAGTGTTTCTGGAACATGGCCAGACAACCCAGTGATTCCAGCCATGAAAACCTTCGACGACACATCTCACTTGCCTAGTTTCCAACAGACCTCTCAACCTTGGAGGATGTGTGCCATAGATGTGGGTGAAACAGCAGGAGAGAATGCTTCTGGAACATGGTCAGACAGCCCAGAAAACTCACAGCAACCCAGTGATTCCAGCTATGAAAACCTTCGACAACACATCTCACTTTTCAACCTCTGAGGTTGCCTGCCATAGATGTGGGTGAAACATCAGGAGAGAGTGCTTCTGGAACATGGCCAGACAGCCCAGAAAACTCACAGCAACCCAGTGATTCCAGCCATGAAAACCTTCGACAACACATCTCACTTCTCAACCTCTGAGGATGCCTGCCATAGATGTGGGTGAAACGTCAGGAGAGAATGCTTCTGGAACATGGCCAGACAGCCCAGGAAACTCACAGCAACCCAGTGATTCCAGCCATGAAAACCTTCGACAACACATCTCACTTCTCAACCTGAGGATGCCTGCCATAGATGTGGGCGAAACATCAAGAGAGAATGCTTCTGGAACATTGCCAGACAGCCCAGGAAACTCACAGCAACCCAGTGATTCCAGCCATGGAAACCTTCGACGTCACATCTCACTTGCCTAGTTTCCAACAGACCTCTCAACCTCTGAGGATGCCTGCCATAGATGTGGGCGAAACATCAGGAGAGAATGCTGCCAGGCAACCCGGAAAATTCACAGCAACCCAGCCCTCGTCTGATTGCATGTTGGATCTCTTTAACGTGAGTTGACTGACCAGAAGGAGAACATTACAAATGTAGGAGGAGACCTCCGTCTTAAATTATGGAACACTGCAGTTATTCCATCTCGGGATGCTCAATAGGAAATGATTTATTCATGTTACCTAAAGACGTGCTCCGCTTTACTGGAATTCGACTATGAATCCAGTCGGTGCGCTCGCTTAAAGAAACAACAACCTGGCCTGTAAATCCTACATGAAATACAAGGCAAGTAAAAGAAAGGAGATCGTAGTTTGGGTCCAAAGCTGTTGTTATCGTTTCAAAAAGCTCACCGTGGCATCGCTTCTGTCGGCAGGATCGCCCCAGAGGCTGGCATTTCAACATCAGTTAAGTGTTTTCAACTTTCAGTGACTACTCGATCCCACAAGCAAAGTGTGTCTTGACTAATGAAATAATAATGACTAGAAAGGATAACTAGTCCTTTGAGAAAGAAAGTTAGACCCACGACTTCCTTAAAATGGGGACAGGGAATGAAAACTACACACCAGTCGCCGGAAATTCCCTTGAACGAAGGCAGTCTTTCTCAACCTCCCGAATGCCGAGACCCCTTAGTCCAGTTCCTCATGTTGTGGGGACCCCCAACCATAACATCACAACTGGAATTTGGGTTCTTTTGCAACTGTCATTTTGCTACTGTTATGAATCATAATCTAAATATTTGATATGCAGGATACATTGTCATTCACTGGACCAAATTTGGCACAAATACCCCATATGCCCAAATCTTTGCTACTGTTATGGATCATAATGTAAATATTTGATATGCAGGATATATTTTCATTCACTGGACCAAATTTGGTACAAATACCCCATATGCCCAAATTTTGCTACTGTTATGGATCATAACGTAAATCTCTGATATGCAGGATGTATTTTCATTCACTGGACCACATTTGGCACAAATACCCAATACACCCAAATTTGAATACTTGTTGGGTTGGAGGGGTTGGTTTTCTCATTTGGGAGTTGTAATTGCTGGGATTTATAGTTCACCTAAAATAAAAGAGCATTCTGAACTTCATCAACGATGGAATTGAACCAAACTTGGCACACTGAACTTCCACAAGCAATAGAAAATACTGGAAGGGTTTGGTGGGCATTGACCTTGAATTTGGGAGCTGTAGTTCACCTACATCCAGAGAGCATTGTGGACTCAGACAGTGATGGATCTGGACCAAACTTGGCAGAAATATGCAATATTCCCAAAAGGTGAACACTGGTGGAGTTTGGGCTAAATAGACCTTGAAATTTGGGAGTTGTAGTTGGTGGGATTTGTAGTTAATCTACAATCAAAGAGCATTCTGAACTGTATCAACGAGGGAATTGAAGCAAACTTGGCACACAGAACTCCCATGACCACCAGAAAATACTGGAAGGGTTTGGTAGGCATTGACCTTGAGTTTGGGAGCTGTAGTTCACCTACATCCAGAGAGCACTGTGGACTCAAACAATGATGGATCTGGACCAAACTTGACACAAGCACTCAATACACCCAAATATGTACACAAGTGAAGTGTGTCTTAATTAATGAAATAATAATGACGGGAAAGGATAACTAGTCCTTTGAACTGCACCAATGAGGGACTTGAACCAAACCTGGTACACAGAACTCCCATGACCAACAGAAAATACTGGAAGGGTTTGGTGGGCATTGACCTTGAGTTTGGGAGCTGTAGTTCATCTCACAAGTGAAGTGTGTCTTAATTAATGAAATAATAATGACGAGAAAGGATAACTAGTCCTTTGAACTGCACCAATGAGGGGACATCATCACCTACATCCAGAGAGCGTTATGGATTCAAACAGTGATGGATCTGGACCAAACTTGGCACAAATACTCAATATGCCCAAATGTGAACACTAGTGGAGTGTGGGGAAAATAGATCTTTACATTTGGGAGTTGTAGTTGCTGGGATTTGTAGTTAATCTAAAATCAAAGAGCATTCTGAACTGCACCAATGAGGGAATTGAACCAAACTGGGCACACAGAACTCCCATGACCACCAGAAAATACTGGAAGGGTTTGGTGGGCATTGACCTTGAGTTTTGGAGTTGTAGTACACCCACATCCATAGAGCACTGTGGACTCAAACAGTGATGGATGTGGACAAAACTTGGCATGAATACTCAATATGTCCAAATGTGAACACTGGTGGAGTTTGGGGGTAAATAGACCTTGACATTTGGGAGTTGTAGTTGCTGGGATTTGTAGTTCATCTACAATCAAAGTCTATCTCACAAGTGAAGTGTGTCTTAATTAATGAAATAATAATGACGAGAAAGGGTAACTAGTCCTTTGAACTGCACCAATGGGGGAATTGAACCAAACTTGGCACACAGAACTCCCATGACCAACAGAAAATACTGGAAAGGTTTGGAGGACACTGACCTTGAGTTTTGGAGTTGTAGTCCACCTACTCCCAAATGTCAAGGACTCAAACAATGGCACAAATATTCAACATGCCCAAATGTGAATGCTGGTGGAGTTTGGGGAAAATAGACCTTGACATTTGGGAGTTGTAGTTTCTGGGATTTGTAGTTCATCTACAATCAAAGAGCATTCTGAGCCCCACCAAAGATAGAATTGGGCCAAACTTCCCACACAGAACCCCCATGACCAACTGTGTTTTCTGATGGTCTTTGGCGACCCCTCTGACACCCCTTCACGACTCCCCCAGGAGTCCCGACCCCCAGGTTGAGAAACACTGAACTAAAGGTTGGGATAGACCAAGTTGTCAACAGAGCAATGCAAAGTGCGAAAACAATGATCATTATTGTTGTGTCAAGTCATTAATGGCTTTTGGCAAACCCATTGCGGGGTTCTCTTGGCAAGATATGCTCTGCCTTTCTCTGAGGCCGAGATAGTGTGACTTGCTCGGGATCATCCTAATGTGTTTCCATGGCTGAGCATGGGATTTAAGCCCTTCTTTCTAGAGTTGTAGTTCCTCGTTATGATACTGGGAAGTTAAAAGAGAGATTTGCAAGGTATGTATAGCAGAGAATGCTACGGCGAAGACATTTCCACATTGCAAAACGAAAAAAGAAATCCAGAGAGCATTATGGACTCAGAAAATGATAGATGTGGACCAAACTTGGCACAAATATGCAATATTCTTGGATGCTATTGCTCTAAATCGAAGAGGAGAAAGACTTCTGAAGTTTCGGTCCTGTAATAATAATAATAATAATAATAATAATAATAATAATAATAATAATAATCAGAGACATTGTTCAATATCACCATTGCCTTTACGATTAAAGATCAACGGCAGGGCCATCTAGTTTGGCACGAATGAAGATTTTGACCCCAGCAAAACAACATTAACACGCACGGACAGAATACCTATTCACACGCCTTTCTCCTGGCTTGCTTTTTTGCAAAAGAGAGACTTTGCAAGGGTTTCTCTCCAGAGATTCCTAAGTGCTGCTCCAAAGCAGCTGTCAAACTGTACGGGGACTGAAAAGAAAAGAGTCACTCACCGTTAATGTAAAAGGAAAGCGCAGCCAAGAAAAGGAGCTGATTCGTATTCCTCATGGCAGTGATTTAGCAGAAAGCATACCAAAAAAGAGGGGAATTTTTAAGAAGGGACCCCACAAAGCTGGTGCCGGAGATGGTTCTGCAGCCAGGATAGGAAGGAAGGAAGGCAAGCATGGGGAATCCAAGCGAAAGAGAGATGGGGATGGATTCAGGGAGCCTGCAAGGATGATGCAGAGTCCGGCCGTAGGACCCAGAAGGAATCCCAATTCCAAAGGGAGCTTGCTTGGTGATCCCTCCTCCTTTGCAGCTCTTTAAAGAGAGGGAAGAAATGTGCAAGGAGGCTCATGATGCGCTCCTGTGGGTTACGCCAGGACCGGCCAAGACTGTCCTCCATGTGGCCAGAGAGCAAGTCCAAGCGACGACGCCTCATTCGCTGGTTGCATTACAGCAAGGAAAGGAGAGAGCAAGTGCCAGAGCTGGAGAGGAAAACGTGCCCAAAGGGTCCTTCTCCAGGGATGGCCTGGTCTTTTGGGAGGCTGTCCATCACCAAGGACCACACAAGGATACTGCGCATTAGAGTTTCAGTGACTATCTCACAAGCGAAGTGTGTCTTGATTAATGAAATAAGAATGACGAGAAAGGATAACTAGTCCTTTGAGAAAAAAAAGTTCAACCAGGGACATATTTTCATTTATGGTGGGAATGCCCCCAAGTGAAGAGTTTTTGGAAGGATATATTCCGAGCTCAATTTAAGGTGCAGGTGCTTACCTACAAAGCCCTGAACGGTTTGGGACCAGCTTACCTTTCCATCTATGAACCCACATGCTCACTTCGGTCATCTGGAGAGGCCCTGCTCGTGATCCCACCTGCATCGCAAGCGCGCTTGGTGGGGACACGGGACAGGGCCTTTTCCGTGGTGGCCCCCAGACTCTGGAACACCCTCCCCAAAGACCTTAGACAGGCCCCCACACTGGCAGTCTTCAGAAAGAACTTGAAGACTTGGCTTTTCCGATGCGCCTTCCCAGATTAGGAAATCTCCACTACCAAGTCCCGTAAGCACCTTATCAAAACCAATGACCGCTGCACATCGCACTTGCCCTTGAAGCCTCATATACACCTCCTGTCACATCAGCACTTTGAATTCTTGTACCCATTACTCTGGCCTGGCCTAGTTCTTATTGTGTTTTAGTGTATTGCTTTTGCCTGTTGTTTATTTGCTTTATCCTGTTTTTAATTGTTTGATTTGCCTAGTTTATATTGCTATGTTGTGTGTTGAGGCCTCGGCCTGTGTAAGCCGCATCAAATCCTTCGGGAGATGCTAGCGGGGTACAAATAAAGTTTAATAATAATAATAATAATAATAATAATAATAATAATAATAATATTCATCGAAATAAACAACCAAAATAATGGCTTTCGCTAGTAGGCCCAGGACTTACTCTTGGAGCATAGATGGTCATAAAATTGAACAAGTTACATCCTTCAAATATCTAGGTGTAGTTCTCCAATCTAATGGTAGCAGAAGAGCTCATGGGAATGAAGTAGCCAATACTGCGCAGAGGAGCTCAATTAAGTCAAGAGGGGGCCACTTTACACCGGCAGCGCTCAAGTTGTTTGAAGCTAAGTCATTAGCCCAACTCTTGTATGGGGCTCAGCTGGGCCCCTTCCCCAGTTTTGCCCCATTAGAGCTGGTTCAGTTAAAGTTCCTTCGATAGAGTTACAAGCTGGGTAGATGCGGGGAATGCCATGGATGTAGCGTACCTGGATTTCAGTAAGGCCTTCGACAAGGTCCCTCATGACCTTCTGGCAAACAAACTAGTCCAATGTGGGCTAGGCAAAACTATGGTGAGGTGGGTCTGGAATTGGTTAAATGGACAAACCCAGAGGGTGCTCACCAATGCGTCCTCTTCATCCTGGAAAGAAGTGACGAGTGGAGTGCCATCAGCAGGTTTCCGTCCTGGGCCCGGTCCTGTTCAACATCTTTATTAATGACTTAGATGAAGGGTTAGAAGGCATGATCATCAAGTTTGCAGATGACACCAAATTGGGAGGGATAGCCAATACTCCAGAGGACAGGAGCAGAATTCAAAACAATCTTGACAGATTAGAGAGATGGGCCAAAACTAACAAAATGAAGTTCAACAGGGACAAATGCAAGATACTCCACTTAGGCAGGAAAAACGAAATGCAAAGATACAGAATGGGGGATGCCTGGCTCAAGAGCAGTACGTGTGAAAAAGATCTTGGAGTCCTCGTGGACAACAAGTTAAACATGAGCCAACAATGTGATGTGGCGGCATAAAAGCCAATGGGATTTTGGCCTGCATCAATAGGAGCCTAGTGTCTAGATCCAGGGAAGTAATGCTTCCCCTCTATTCCGCCTTGGTTAGACCACACCTGGAATATTGTGTCCAATTCTGGGCACCACAATTCAAGAGAGATATTGACAAGCTGGAATGTGTCCAGAGGAGGGCGACTCAAATGATCCAGGTCTGGAGAACAAGCCCTATGAGGAGCGGCTTAAAGAGCTGGGCATGTTTAGCCTGAAGAAGAGAAGGCTGAGAGGAGTATGTGAGAGGAAGCCACAGGGAGGAGGGAGCAAGCTTGTTTACTGCTTCCCTGGAGACTAGGACGCAATGGAGCAATGGCTTCAAACTACAAGAGAGGAGATTCCATCTGAACATTAGGAAGAACTTCCTGACTGTGAGAGCCGTTCAGCAGTGGAACTCTCTGCCCCGGAGTATAGTGGAGACTCCTTCTTTGGAAGCTTTTAAACAGAGGCTGGATGGCCATCTATCAGGGGTGCTTTGAATGCAACTTTCCTGCTTCTTGGTCGAATGGGGTTGGACTGGATGGCCCAGGAGGTCTCTTCCAACTCTAGGATTCTAGGATTCTATGATTCTATGATGGTCTGTCAGGTACCTAAATGCGTTTCTAATGCCACCCTGTGACTAGAGATGGGCTTTATGAGAGTGGAGGCCAGGGTGTGGGTGGCCATACTCAACCTCTGGCTCAGACTATCCCGTGCACCCCTTGGTCTTGCCCCACTAACCATGGAGGATGACTTCCAATCCACATGGAAGCAGGCGGTAACATCAAAAATCTCCTCATTGGGATTTTCTCCAGGTCTACTACTCGCTATGGATTTATTTATTTATCATGTCATCAGCAACCATACCTTTGTGTTACAATTCTAACAGAACAAAACAAACACACAGATTAAAAAGAAAAAGAAAAAAACACACAGATTTTGCAAACTTGGTAGTTGGTTAAATGTCCTTTGACCAGTATCTGGCCACTTGGAGTGCCTCTGGGGTTGCTGCAAGAAGGTCCTCCATTGTGCATGTGGCAGGGCTCAGGTGCATTGCAGCAGGTGGTCTGTGGTTTGTTCTTCTCCGCACTCGCATGCCGAGGATTCCACCCTGTAGCCCCATTTCTTAAGATTGGCTCTGCATCTCGTGGTGCCAGAGCGCAGTCTGTTCAGCGCCTTCCAAGTTGCCCAGTCTTCTGTGTGCCCGGGGGGAGTCTCTCATCTGGTATAATCAAGCCAAAGCACTTATTAAACAACGTATCACAGACACAGAGCGACAACTAGATCTGGCCTCGGTTCCAACCTTCCTTATCAATGAAGACAGCAGATATCTTGCCTCCCCTATGGCATATTTAACAAACTTAGAGGTTCCTCTTCATCGAAGGGCTTTCACCCTGGCTCGATGCCACGCTCTCCCATCAGCTGTACTCGAAGGGCGCTACCAGATGATCCCTTTCCCAGAGAGACTCTGCCCCTGTGACTTGGGTCATGTAGAAACAATAGAACATGTGCTTCTTCAGTGCCTGCTCTACAGAGATATCCGTGCCAGGCTTATCTTACCTCTGATATACAAGCACCCAGGCCATTCAGTGACTGTGGAGCCCTATTCTTGACCTGCATCGTCTCCCGCAGTGAGGGCATTGGTTTCCAGGTGGAAGGTGGTCCCGGTTGGTGTTGGCATTATGCGCCTTCCTCTTGGCATGTTTCTCTCTTTCACCCTCCATTTGTGCCTCTTCAAATTACGCAGCACTGCTGGTCACAGCTGACCTCCAGCTGGAGCACTCAAGGGCCAGGGCTTCCCAGTTCTCAGAATTTTTAAGCTTGGCTTTGAGCCCATCTTTAAATCTCTTTTCCTGTCCTCCAACATTCTGTTTTCCGTTCTTGAGTTTGGAGTAGAGCATCTGCTTTGGGAGAGGGTGGTCGGGCATCCGGACAGCGTGGCTGGTCCAGTGGAGTTGATAGCGGAGGATCATCGCTTCAGTGCTGGTGGTCTTTGCTTCTTCCAGCACGCTGACATTTGTCTGCATGTCTTCTAAGGAGATTTGCAGGATTTTCCGGAGGCAGCACTGATGGAATCGTTCCAGGAGTTGAGTTTGACGTCTATAGACAGTCCACGTTTCACAGGCGTATAGCAGGGTTGGTAGTGGAATAGCTTTATAAACAAGAACCTTGGTCTCCCTACGGATGTCCCGGTCCTCAAACACTGTCTGCTTCATTCGGAAAAATGCTGCACTTGCAGAGCTCATGCGGTGTTGAATTTCAGCGTCAATGTTGACTTTTGTGGAGAGGTGGCTGCCAAGGGAGTGGAAAGGGTCCACATTTTCTAATGTTACACCATTAAGCTGAACTGGAGAGGGATTGTCTCATGCCTTTTGCTGGAAGAGCACTTTGGTTTTTTCAATATTCAATAATACTAAAGGTAAAGGTTTCCCCTTGAGTTGTGTCTAGTCGTGTCTGACTCTGGGGGTTGGTGCTCATCTCCATTCCTAGGCCAAAGAGCTGGCATTGTCCATAGACACCTCCAAGGTCATGTGGCCGGCATGACTGCATGGAGTGCCGTTAGCTTCCTTCATTCAAAAGCAGTACTTATTGATCTACTCACACTTGCATGTTTTCGAACTGCTACGTTGGGATAAGCTGGGCCTAACAGCAGGAGCTCAGTCTGCTCCCAAGTTTGAACCTGCAATCTTTTGGTCAGCAAGTTCAGCAGCTCAGCAGTTTAAACCGCTGCAGCACTAGGGGGTGTCCAGCTAATAACACGCAATATTCTTTTCTTTTTTCTTCTTTATTCATTCAAGTAGACATACATTTGCAAGTCTTTGTTGCATACAGTGCAATACTTTCTATCTACTAATGTTCCATAATCATTTATCTATATAAATAAAAATGTAATGTTCATTTGTGGGATTAAAAGAACTCAAAAACCACTGGACGAATTGACACCAAATTTGGACAGAAGACACCTAACAACCCAATGTATGTCCTTCACTTAAAAAAATGATTTTGTCATTTGGGAGTTGTAGTTGCTGGGATTTATAGTTCACCTACAATCAAAGAGCATTCTGAACCCCACCAACGATGGAATTGAACCAAGCTTGGCACACAGTTCTCCC